CACTAGCGATCATTGAGTAATTAAGCTTTAACATTTTTTTATTAGCTGCATTATGTAATGCTACTTATGTTATTAAAAAGTGGAAAATAAATATTAATGTGGTAAATAAGAGTAGTTGATCATTGTTTATTCTATACCATTAATGGTTGTTCTTTTATACTGTGTTTCCTCCTAAAATAAGACCTAGTCTTATATTAATTTTTGCTACAAAAAATATTCTAGGGTTTATTTTCAGAGGATGTCTTATTTTTCATGTATTTATTCATGTTCAAGAAACAAATTTCTTAAAGTTTAAGAAATTCATTTATTCACATTCAAGAAACATTAAAAAATGAATAGAATAATTTATTCTACTTCTGGAATGTCATCATAAAGCTCTATATCTTGAGTTCTTGCCTGTATCTTTTGTGACTTAATTCCAAGACTATTGGCCCTAGCCTCTAATGTTGAACAATAGAGCTGTCCACAAACACATCATGTTCAGAAGCAACACTGTCTATTATTTTATTCCATGCATTCATCACCCAAATAAAGACTTCTTGTAGCTTTGATTTCACAAAATTTCTCATTGATTCCTCGCCATTCTGTTATCAATGTAGTCATTGATTTCCATGTGCAAATGGCATTTAAATGGACTTTATTGTTATAACAAGAGTTAAGAGATACACAGTCATTCCTTCATTAATCAGTATTTAATCACTTCTTCTGGAATTTTGAAATTTGTTGTTTTAGCACAGTGAGAGCTAGTAGAATTCCACACTAGCAGACCTCTTTGACCACCTTATTATTTGAAAAAAAAAAAAAAAAAAAAAAATGGCAGAAATAAATCAACCATCTCGCTTATTACTGTTTGTGTACATCAAGCTTGTTCAGTCTCAAGAACATAAATACCTGAAACACATTAGATTTTCTTTTTCTTGCCCTTAGGGATGATTAGAGGGGTTTGAGATTTATTTTCCATGGAAATGAATTGCCAAACTACATGTAATGTTTGTACTTTTGTAATCAGTGAAGAAAATACATATTGGAGAGGCACTTTGTTGATCGGTAGTTAGAGACCTTTGGCCTATAAACAGTGCAGTTTCATCCATAGCAATCATGTTTGAGAGTTGGTACCTAGAGAGTTTGATGCCTTCAACGTGAATACAAGTACACATTTAATAACTTCACTTACCTTCTAATTTGAACAGTGTTGTTGATCTTCTTAGAGGCAGTTCATATTGCTGAAGGAAGCCATCCACCCAGTGTTGTAGTTCTTTGAATTTGGCGATATTTCTTATGTGATACCAAGTGCGATATTTCTAGTGCAAGGGTGAATGCTTGAACATCATCTTTGGGAACAATCAAACACTTTACTCTTCTGGCAGCAATCCATTCTCAGATGATATGTTCCAAATCATCAAGTAATGGTTATCAACCTGATCCATACTTACATTTTCTAACATTTCCCTCATCGATGTGTTGACTGAGGTTATTGTACTCTGATCACCAATTTGAGACAGTTCGTAGATCCAACTTCTCTTGGCAGAAAAGCTGTAAGAGTTTAATCCCTGGAACTTTCCACAATTCCTATCTTGTACTCAATAGAACAGCTTTTTCTTTTTGCATGCATTTTATCTGAGTATCAAAATTTATTATCCTTTAAATTTATTATCAAATCAAGTGCTAAACATCTGCTGCTAACACAATGTATTGAATTACTGAAAATTTTAATTTAGCAATATGACAGCCATTTGTTTCAGATGTGCACGTGCACTTAGTCATTCGGCAATCTAGCCCCATCTCACTGCCAGGTAATTGGATGCCTGTTTGGCTGCCTAGTAATTAGGTGCACGTCTGGCTGATGGTCCTAACTAGGGCTTATTTTAGAGGCAGGGCTTGTATTAGGAGTACCCTGAAAAATCGTTTTAGTTCATATTTTTTTTATTAGGTGATATTTTTGGGAAAACACTGTTGACACTGCCAGCCATATGAGTAAATCAGGGAAGTCCCCTTTTGCAGCACCTAAGTGGTGTTTGGGCAAAACTGGTAAGTGCTTAATCTATAGAATTCCCTCTGTTTAAGCTTTGAATTATAACATCGATTTTTTGAAGGTGCCTTTTTTCTGTGTTTTTAATGAATGTGCTTTTTTTTATCAAACATACCCAAGATGAAAACATGCTTGCATTGTAAACCCCTGCTATGTGATGCCTATGGCAGTACATATTCACTGCATGCAGTTTGCAATGTATATGTGTAATTCCAAATTAAATGAGTAATTGTGGTCTAAATAGTCTGAGAATGTAGAAATAGAAGATACTGGCTTAGGAAGAATGATTTATCTATTTTTAAAATGTCATTTTTAACAGTGATATATGTAAACAGCTCATCATACTGGCAAATGATATTTTGAAATAAACCTTTATTTAATAATATGGTCACATCTGATGGAAACGCATACTTCACATCTTGATTTTGTAGAATTTGTGAAATTGTTGATGACAGTTTTGTGGAATTGCATTACCAGTCTTTTGAAAATGTACTTTTCAGATTCTGGAAGGTTAAAAGAGGCATTGTCTTTTCCCACTGCTAGAATCTGATGCTAAATGCTTTGTTGTAGTAAGTGCAAGCTCAGAAAAGCTTCATGGAAAACTGAGAAAGCAGTATAGACATTTGTCTTGTCTTTGGGTATTAGGCTTGCAAGTTTTTGAAGGCCCTTCATAACAGTTGCAGTGGGATCATTTCAAAGCCATTTATGCACTTTGACCAATGTGTGTAATTTTTTTAATAAGCATTACAAAAAAAGTAGTCTTCAGCAGATGTCTGTCATGTATTCTAATCCGTCTTTTAACAGCTGTGTTCAGATTATTTAATTAGCCATTTATCAATTTAAACCAGTATGATAAATGATTAAAAAAGGCAGCAAATTCTGTTAGGTGTATGTTGGGGGAGATAATAAAAGTCAAAAGGAATTTTGTGTAAACTCGCAAGTCTGTTTTAAAACATTAAGCTGACAGCAATGGCTGAAAACTGTTTTTCAAGGAAGTATATAAGCAGGAACAAAAAATGCATTAAATCTTCTGTGCTTGTGTATTTTGATAAAAAGTGTGTTATGGTTATATCAGCATTTTAAAGTGCTAAGAGAAAAACATTATAATTAAAACTTAAGCTGTAATTGTGTTTTGATGGAGAAAATGTAATTTGAAACTGAGGTGAATATGTTTCTCAAATAATCAAAATAGAAAACTCCTCCTGTTAATTATTTGAAAATTCATGCTAGTTGCATTTCTTTAAGATTGCATTTACTGAGCTTGCTTGATGTACTCTAGGAAATCACTGTATCCCTCGGAGTACACACTGTAGTTTGAGAGCCACTGTGTCAGCCTCTATTTTTCATACATGTTGTTTCATATATGTTTCATACATGTCTTGTATACATGTTGTTTCATATATGTTTCATACATGTCTTGTATACATGTTGTTTCATCATATGTTTCATACATGTCTTGTATACATGTTGTTTCATGTATGTTTCATACATGTCTTGTTTACCCATGTGTGTCACTTGTATAACCTTCATCTTGTTTCCTTGTACACTTACCAGCAGTGTCAATGTAGCTGTACGGATTGTTATTGTCAGTTTTACAGCAGAGATGTGGCTATGATATAGGAATCTGATGAACTGTGGTGAACATTTGTAATTCATATGTAGGAAGTTTATTTAAAAATGATTTGTTTAATCAAGAAATGGAATAGTGAGGCATAACTATTTGTATATGATAATTTAGGCTGTATTGCCTCAGGTACCTGAAGGTTTATTGCCTGTAACTAAAATTTTAGTGATATATTAATGAGTGATATTTCAGCTTATTTTGCCCATAAAAGGAAAAAAAATTAAATTTCAAGTCTAAATTAACACTGCTTTTTAGTTTTTTTAATTTATACAGGGAAACTGGAAATTTTGAACGTTACATTTGGCAGCATTGTAGAGCCGGCAGTTGTTCGAAACTTTGCACAATTGTTGTGAGTGCATAGCCATTTAGTAATCGTGGATTATTGGACTGGTGCGGAACGTGCAGTAGCTGCGAGAGCATTTTATAAAAATGGTGATAGTGCGACTGCCACGTAGAGAATATTTTGACAGCATTACCAGCTTGGATGTCATGGATGTGTCACATCTGTGCATGCGATTACAACGTGGGTGAAGAAACAGGATCTGCCTTGAGAAAGAAACCTCCAGGTGGCATTCCAACGGTACGTACCCCAGAGAACATTGAAGCTGTTAGAGCTGCAATCGAAAGAAGTCCTCGCCACTCCGTTCGACAGCATGCATCTTCAGCAGGACGAAGCCATGTCACACACTGCTCGACAATCAATGGCAGCATTTCGTCAGTTGTTTAAAAGACGCATTATTTGACCTAACGGTGACATTGAATGGCCTGCGAGATCCCCTGATCTTAGTGTGTGCAACTTCTTCCTGTGGGGATATCTTAAAGGCAAGGTGTACCATACACATCCTGCAACAATCCATGAACTGATGGAGAACATTGGAAAAGCAATCACTGCCATTCCCCAAGATTTGCTACACCGTGCATTCCAGAGTTTTCATAACAGGCTGTTAGAGTGTGAATGCCGAATGGGAGCACATCTTTTCGATGTCATCTTTAAGAAGTAAAAAGACACTTTTGGACATTTTGATTGTAAAAACATAAATGGCATGCTGAATGCATGCACTTTCGTTAATAAATTACTAATTCAGAAGTCAAACAACAAAAATCAGCGTTATATTTACAAAATTAGCTGATTTTTGTTGTTTGACTTCTGAATTAGTATTTATACGGCGTGTTATTGTGTCTTAATTAATAAATTACTAGTTTTATGACTTTATTCGTGGAAATGACATTTCGAAATTTCCCGTTTCCCTGCGCCACCCTGTACCAATAAACTGTGGCTAAAACAGTTTTAATATTTTGCACAGTCTTCTGTATTATTCAGAATTTTTTTTTTTTTTTAATGTCTAGCTTGATCTCTACAAATCCTTTATCGGATCTTCGATACGAGATGTACTGACAGGATATAACTGCTCTGTTGTTGTGTAAGTTAAATGTTTCAGTATTCCAAATTAAAACTTGCAACTTTTTGAAATATGTGGTATATATGTTAAAGGAAAGTGTTTCGCAAAAGCTTCTTTGTTAGAATTTTTAGGAAATTCTAAGTCCCAAAACTTGGATTTTCATTTTTCATTCGAGTCTATTTCCAATAGACAAAATGTATGATATTTATCCTTCAAATTTAATCTGTTATTAACAAACGAAACTATTTAAAAGCAGTAGACAAAGTTCTCAATTTTTAAATTTTTAATCTGATTAATAAAAATGTATTTAATTCATGATATATGTAATTAAAAAAATTAAATATTTTTATAGAATTACATAGATGTTTTTCACTTTTCAAATATACAGAAGATATACTTAGATACTTAATTTGTATGATACTGGGTTTCTACTGCACTGAGGCAGTACTTCCCAGTAGCATGAGAGATATCTCGAGGGAACCTGGCAGTAATGGTAAATCAAGTGGATCCTGAAGCAGGAAATCTGGAGAGGATGCTAGGGCGAGAGAAGAGCGATGCGAAAATTCAGCATGTGTCGCCATCTGGTGGCGGTGGATGTGGTGACAGAGTCGGGGTTACGTGCAAAGCATGTAAAAAATTTTTCTTGATGTATTATTGCAGTTAAATGCTTTTTCAGGGACATAAAAAATTTTTTTTTAATTTTATGTAGGTCCTTTTAATGTGCGTGCCAGGGAGTTGTGATGGTATCATGAGATATTTTACGGCTGGGTATCGAACTGTGGATCTTCTAGACAGTAGCTGCATGCTTTACCACAGGGCTATGTGTTCTGCATGTAAAATAGGTGGGAAATGGAGTCTTTTCGTGAATGAAGGGGTGATTTCCTGTGAATAAGAGTGCGGTTAGATGTCTGCATTGAGCATGTTAATGATGTGCGCAGCATATGGCCTATTGAAATAATCTTCTTTGAATATTTCATATTCAAGAATGTTTGAGAAGTTTGCATGGGTGTTAGCCGTAGCTTTTCTAAAGAAATTTGCATTTAGCTTGTTGATATAATCCCGTATGTATGCGATGTGGAGATCGTGGTGAAGGTTTTTGTTTCTTATGAACAAAGGAGCCCCGGTAATTAATCGGAGAAATTTATTTTGAACTATTTGTAGTTTATCGATCTCCGAACTTTTAGCATTCACTCATTTCTGGAGTATTAGTACGGTGAAGCGTACGTGAGCATCGGCCGGATTATTGAAATGTCGATTTTCCTTTTCCTTGCGAGAGTGAGGCCGGAAGAGTTTGATAGGAGACAGTTGAGTTTTCTGATGATGCTGAAAGTTTTTTCTTGATTTCATTTATGTGGTTTGACCAGGTGAAGGTTCTATTGAAAATAATGCCAAGGTATTTAGCCTTATTTACGATGGGGATTTGTTGGCCGAAAAGGGAAACAGAGTTTGTGATTTTGTCTTTGTTTGTGTTTTCGTATCAGTAAGATTTCAGATTTTTCAGGATTAATGTTAATTCTCCATTTGGTGCACCATGTTTTAACTGCAGACATTTTTTCTTGAAGTTTGGCGATGGCCTGGTTTGGGCGGCGGGATCTTTGGATTAGTGCCGTGTCGTCCGCATAACAGGCAAGGAGAAAATTGTGGTCTGCATTGAAGTTAGGGAAATCATATGCGTAAATTAGGTAAAGAATTGGACCAAGGATGCTGCCTTGTGCTATGCCTCCTCTCATGGGGTAGGAGTCAGAGGTGTAATCAGCTTGCTTGACCGAGAAGGTTCTGTGATCAAGGAAAGATTTTAAGATAAGAATTAGCTCTCGAGGAATCTGCTGCTGGATGAGTTTGTAAATAAGTCCCTCATGCCAAACGCGGTCAAAAGCTTTGGCCACGTCCAACATGAGGAAGGCGACACTGAGTTTGTTTTTGATAGCAGAGCCAATGAATTCTGTAATTCTGATCAACTGGTGAACTGTAGAGAGTCCTCTCCGGAAACCATACTGTTCATTTGGTAGAAATCCCAGATGCGGTTGGAGCCTTGTTAGGATTAATTTTTCCAAGATCTTCTTAAGTGAAGAGAGCAGACTAATTGGCCTGTAACTTGTGAGTTTGTCGGGTGGTTTTTTTTGGGTTTTTGTAAGACAAAGATGCTTGCGTGTTTCCAGATGATGGGGAAGTATGAATGTGTAAGGCAAGCGTTGTAAATGCCTGCGAGTTTGCATAATACATTATTAGGGAGCTTTTTCAGGAGTTTGTTCGAAATTTGGTCTTTCCCTGGAGCTTTTCTGACTTTGGAGTGTTTTATGATATTTTTGATCTCACGGGGGCTAGTCAGTGTGATATGATTTGGGGGGAGGGTGAGTTAATCCAGTTGTCGTTGTGGGCAGTAATGGCTGCCACGATGGTAGGGTTGATGGGCGTGTCGTTCGGAGTAAATTGTTCTGTCAGGTGACTGGCAAAAGCATCTGCTTTTTCCTGGTTGGTGTAAGCAAAACCGTACTGTGTCTTGATTGGTGGGGATGGCCGGGAGGATGTTTTGAGGTTTCTGATGAAGTTCCAAAAGGAGCTATCTTCCAAGTTAAGATTTTCGATTTTTAAGTTCCATTGTTCAGTTCTCTATTTCTTAATTTCATAGCTGATTTTTCTGGTGAGGCGGTTAATTTCTGTTTTAATTGAGGGGTCCCATGTGCGGTTGAAAAGCTTTGCGGAGTCGGTTGCGTTGAGGTAATGATATTACGGATGCTCTGAGGAAGGGTGCCGTAATTACAGGAAGTAATCCTTTCTGTAGTAGCCTGTTTGATGAAGCTTTGAATAGTTTCAGTGAAGGCTATGGCCGCAGTTTCAATGTTTTCAGGAGAATTGAGTCTTTCATGTTGTATGGGAGTGGAGATTGCAATATTGTGTAGGAGATCTCAGTCAATAATTTTCTTGATGAGTGTTTCCTTTTGGTTTGTTGTAGCCTAATCGGGCGATTACCGGGACGTGATCAGAAGATAGCTCAATGAGTACTTCTAGAGTTATGGGGAAGTTGTAGTTTGTGAGGAAGAAGTCCAGGATGTCTGGTCGTCTGTTGATAATATTTGGTCTGTAAGTAGGTTCATCTGGGGTGTACATGAAAATGGGGTGGTTCTCAACGAAGTTTCGGATTATGAGTCCGTTTGGGTTGGAGTGATTGCACCCCCAGTCGGTGTGTTTCGAGTTAAAATCTCCTCCTAGTATGGTGGGAGTTTGGTCATCTAGATAGGCCTGAATATCCACAGTATCGATTTTGTTATCAGGGGGGTTGTAAATAACACAGAATTTGGTGTTTCCGAATTTGGGAATGTGTACGTTGACGCAGACAAGCTCGTGTCCTTTAGAATTATCTGAGGAGATCAGTCCAGAGTTCAAGGATCGTTTTACATAGATAATTACACCGCCACCGCGATGTCTGACTCTGTCACATCTGTATGCATGGTAGTTTGCCAGTTTTAGGCTATGCCTGGCAAGTGCATGTGTTTCAGTAATCATGCATGTTTGTATGTCATGCTTTTCTAAGAAATCGTGCAGCTCGTGGAGCTTTGTAGTAAGGTTTTGTGCGTTCCATAACGCCACTGAGATTGGTACAAAAGGTTGGGGTAGATTATTCATGATTGGTGACTGGTTGCATGGCTGATGTTTGTGCGGATGCACTGTTAAATTGGGCAGTGGTGTCTTTTAGCATGGAGATTACCGCTGTGAGGGTGGAAATGAGGGTTTTAGCCTCCTTAAGTTTGGCTGAAAGTTCCTGCAGTTCCTGGGAGTGTTGCTCCCTGGGAGGCTGCGCACTGTTGGTAATGACTCTTTCAGAATAGAGAATTCTGTCCGAGTTCTTCTCTTTTGGGAGGTAGGAACAACCTCTGAAAGAGGCTGTGTGATTTAGTCCACAGTTTGCACAGTTAGCAGGTTCAGTCGGGGGTTTTGAGCAAGTGCGAGACTCGTGTCCCTGACCGCACTTTACACACCGTGCAGGGAGGTGGCAATGAGCTTGGGAATGGTGGAATGGCACTTGTAGCACTGTGTGTGGGGCCTTTTCTGCCCCTGTATCTTTCAACTTTTATGCACAGTCGCATCAAGTACTGCAGGTGAAAGATTGATCTTGAGTGTTCATTTCTGTTCAGTGTAACCAGGAAAAGTGGCATGTGCTGGATGTCAGGGCCGCGTTTACGCGTGAATTGCGAGACTCTGATCACCTGATATCCGAGCTCTGTGTGTGCTTCTCCAATTTCCACAGGATCATAGTAAGTAGGGATGCTGCGGATAACGGCTTTGATATGTTTATCGTTGGGTAGCATGTGTGTGAAGTATTTGATGTTCTTAGAGTCCAGTAGACTTGTAATTTGTCGATGTACATCTGATTCGAAGACCTTGAGTTCGAAATCGAAATCCTCTCATTTTGGCTTTGCAGTCTATTTTGGCTTTCTCCAAAAGATCATTTAGTTGTTTCCATGTAAATTCAGGGTCTTGTATGATGATCGGGGGAATCTTTGAGCTTCTTTTGGGATATTGGAATCCCTCGGTGTCTGCGGAACCGCAGGGCACTTCATTTGTGGGTTCGTCATTGGTCGGAAGTACCGTGTCCATAGGCGTGATGTCCGGGGTGGTTGCAGGCAGGAGATTCGGCGCTGGGATGCTTTCCTGTGTTTTGGGCTCTTCAGGAGCTGCATCCTGTGATTTGGGCTTAGTTGATGTAGTTGGCTTTGCTTTAGTTTTCTTTTTAATTTTTTGCGATGATGGGGGGGGGCTCCAATGATTTTTCTTCCTGCTGGTGCTGATCGGGATCATCCGATACTTCTTCAAGGATGGCAAATTTGTTGTAAGTTTCTGGTTCTGGAGTTCTTGGCCGTTTCCCACATGCGGTCGGTGTGGTGTTGGGTGCAGTAGTCCGCTGCTGGGTTTCTGCAGGGGAGTTGGGTTTGAAGTCCGGGAAGGTGACAGAGAAAAGATTTTTTATTAGCTTTAGGTTATTCAGATGTTTCTATGTCTGAGTCGAAAAGCTCAGCCTTTCTCGATGTTGATTCCAGTTCCTTAATGGCATGATTTATGAAATCAGCCATTACCTTCATGATATTTGCCATTTCAAAATCCGTGATGTATAGCAGGAGAAGTTCAGTAAAATCACGTTAGTTAAATGAAAAATCAGATGTCCTGCTGTGACTGCGTCTGGAAGCAGAAGCAAAATTGAAAATCAGTAGAATCGCACGAAGGCCTTTTTACCACTCTGTGGTCACTTAAGACCGGTGAGCAACCTTTTGTGTGCTAGCAACTGATCGTGAGCAAATCAAGTAGTCTTGGTAAATCCAAGAGCTGCAAGGAGAACCTTCACGTTTGGCTTCTGGCGTCCGAGTGAGAGAGAGATGAGACAAAATGACTCCACAGAAGATATAACATGCTTATGTTAGTCGAAATATATATTCAGCTAGTATCCACAAAAATATTTTGCTGTTTTATCTGGGCCATCTTTGTAGGTAATTTCTATTGATAAGCTATATTAATCTTTAAGAGGGCCTTTTTGAGCAACTATTTAAATCTAAAACCTTCAAGATTTAAAAAAAAGTTTTTATAATGTGTGTAGATGTAATCCAACTGAAAACAGTTTTTTTTTTATTTTTCTTTACATACATATAGATGTAACTCAACTTTAGATGAAAAGCCACTGAAGATGAATGCAGAGGTATGTTCTACTACTTCAGTAGAAATTTTTTATTAATATGCTGTTTAATTTTTTACTTAAGAATTAATGTATTTCAGTGTTTTGATGGATATCTGGCAGTGCAATCACTTACTGATCTGTTATTATCTGTGAATAAACAAGAAGCTCTGGAAGCTACTCTACAAGTATCTTTTATTGAAGTTTGTAATGATAATGCAGTCTTTGATCTTCTAAGTGATGATGATGATTGGAGAGATTTGCAAGTCTTTGATAGTCCAGATCATGTAGATATAATTTTTTCAATATCTTTTTGATATGTATAGCACTGTATATAAATTCGCATAACTAAACCTTAGCAAATAATTTGAAGGTATTTCTTGTTTGTAAGGAAAGCAAAACTGAAGGCTTGCTATGTAAACATAAAGAGAAAGGTTATTATAGTCAAAGCAAACTAAGCAGTATTTCTAATACTGAAGTTTCTGCGCTTGTGTATTAATTTGCATTTTAAAGTAAATTCTTCAGTCGCCTACGTAACTCATAAATTTACTTTATTTGGTCCTTTCACTGCCAGGAACTTGTAATGCATTAAATTCTATCTCTTAAGGAGCTCAGAGATGTTGGTATTTGATAGATAAAAATTACATAATTAGTTCAAACGCATAATTTAATGCTTCCTTATAGATACAGCCAGCCAGTAATTCTGTTGTAATAAATTTAAATTCCTATATTAGTTGTATAAAAAATTTAGTATTTTTATTACTGAATCATAAATAATTTATAATGTATGTTGTTGCTGCATTAGTATTTTCACTTTTTGTAAAGTTACCTATTAAACTTCATTCTTTTTGGAATTTTTGCTTACTAGAATTTTTGGCATTGTCGCTCTTTTTCTTTCTGTTTTCTGTACAATATTTGTAGTCGATAGTATTACAAATGCTGCTGTTGTGTTATTCTATTTGATACATCTTTCTCCATCATAAAGAAATATTTTGTTCCCTGTATCACAGACCAAGTTACTAATGTTTATTCTTATCTATACCTATAAACAAAAAGCATTTATCCAAGACTTGAAATAAACTTAGAAGTACTTTCATGTAAATGACATTTTTTCAGCTGCTCTCAGCTTTTTCATGTGCCGGATATGACATCACGCTTTTCTTTCACATATATTTAAAAAGCTATGGGTAATATAGGTATACTTCTTTAACATCTTTTATGTATTTTAAGAGAGTAATCAGGCTGTACAACATTTGGGCAGTCTTGATGGGACATCCTGTATGTATGGATTACAATGAATGGGAAGTAACAAAATTGTCTTTTTTCAGTCTGTTCTGTAATATTTAGTTTCTAGTTTATTTAACAAAGTTTTGTTTTATAGCCAATTTAACTGTAGTCTAGGGAATAAAAGCTATACAGGTTAGGAAAAAGATGTTCATATTTAATGAAAAATATAACCATGCATATAATGTTTTGTATATATTTGAAATATCACGACCTTTCTGAAGGTAAATTAGAGAATTATTGTTATAATATGTAAAAAATGAATTTATTGCACATTGTATTTAAGATTACTGATGTACTATCACTGAACTTTAAATTTTTAAGAATTTGCAATGATTCAGTTTATTATGTGTATTTTTTCATGAGCTACATTATTACTCTAGTTAAATCATGTTCCAGATGGATTTTATATGCTGTTAAAATTGTGAATATATTTTCTTTGATGTATTTTTTCATGGCTAGAGTGTGGAGACTTCAGCTTTTGGAATGAAAACATGAAAATGAAGTATGCACTCAATGGGACTGTTATGTTGATCTTTTAGTAGCTAACTGGTTATAACTTACACAATACAAGTCTATGCACAATAAAAATGCCATAATTCCTATAAGAGAATGACTGAATACATGATTGTAGTTATCTAAACACGAAATTGTTGATATAAAAATTTACTGCTGAAATCACATATTTTGATCATTTATTGCAGTATATTCTTAGTATACTGAGGTGTTTCAACCTCTTAATTTACTGAACCAAGTTAACATGGGTGCACCAAACTAAATTATTTTCGTGCACTAAAGTAGTTTGATATGTTTTTTCAGAATATATGAACTACTGCTTTGATTTAAAATAAAGAAGAAAGAAAAGGCAGAGAAAAAGGACCACTTTCTGAATTTTTATTGGTGTATGAAGGGTTTGAATGCCAAGGATTAATGCAGTATATGATTACCTCTTGCATTTAAGACTGCATGAATTCTGCTGGGAAAGTATATGTATGATACATGTATATTTGAGATAGTGAATTATAGAATACTTTACCATTCCTTCTGCAAAATTTGAAAAGTTGCAAAGTGTTAGAAACTGCTTGAACTTTTTTCCAAAGCTTACTGAGGGGGCATGAAGGGTGGAAAACCTCAATATGGTGGAATATTAGCAGGCTTAGCAAACCATGAGTGATATACAGGATATGGGTGTACCAGGGCCTTTTCATCTTGATAAATGGCATCTTCTACAGAAAACCATGCTTGCATCATAGGAAGAACTTAGTCAATCAGTGCTTGGCAGCAACATGGCTTTGCAAAATAATAATACGACTGGTAAATTACAATGCTGTAGCTGTCCAAACCTTGACAGAATCTGTCTAGCTTCATTGCTGACAAAAGACAGATAAAAGCCTATATTGCTCTCTCCATAGTATCTAAAACAGTAGAATTTCTCCATAGATGCAAAAATCAGCCACAGATTGAAAACAGTGCAGAATCTAGTTATCAGACCGAATGGCAGCCTTTTCATTGATCAGCAGTCTGTATTTGATGGCATTTACTTCATAAGTCAGTAATCTGCAATGAGTATCTTGACTATATATTCCTTGCTTGGGGAGTTCTCTCTGGTCTCGTACAAAACATAATTTAAAAGCACATTATTGAACTTGACAGTTTTAGAATCATTATCTTATTTTTGGTTAGACTCCTCTTCAATGTCCTTTATCATTCATTGGATACTTATCGTTATGCTGGTACTTATAGATATTCTTCAAAAACAACAGTGTGTTATAACTCTGGTACAATACCACATGAAGCACCAATGTTAAATACTTAGCTAACTAAGCATGGAGTTTGAAATCAGCAAAAAAGTATGTGAGTTGTAATAAAACTAAACTTTTTGTAGTAATTGAAAAATTGAATATAAACTGAAAATTACAGGAACACTTTGACTTTGCAAACTAGTTTGTTATTAAGAATAAATTTTAAATTGCAAGTTTCTTGAAATAAGGTACAAATATTAATTTGAGTTTTGACTATCAAGATTCCATTGCCATGGCAGTGATATACTACTGTATGATCATTTTTGCATTTTTGGGAAAATCTTTTCATTATTTAGAACATTAAAATGATGAGAAGTATGATGGAAATTATATTCACATTTATATTTATTAAAGTAGGGTATATGAAGACATTTTTTGTATGGTGCACGAATTAATTGCATCTAAAAAATTATTCATAATATTTCTAATGCAGTTCATAAATCATATGTACTATTCTATTCTTTTGATGCTTATGTCATATTGCCTAAAGAATAATATAAATGTTATAAAAATTGGCTAAATTGTTGTAAAAGTGTAACATTTCTATAAGTATTTCACAGCCAAGCTAATTTTGTTGTTATATAAAACTTGCAAAATGGTTTTTTAATACAACTGCAGTAGAAAATAATGGAAATGGAATGTAATTGCACTGGTTGGTATTTTTCACATATGAAAGAGAAGAACTTGTGTTCAAATTTTAAAAATTTATATTTTTCCGTTCAAATTTAAGAAGAATTTTGTATAAATAGTCTGAAATGTATCCAAACTTCCTAGTTATTATGTATGTAAAAGTCACTAAAATTTTGTCTTTTACAGCTGTGTGATCACTAAATTTGTTCGTGCCACATTGTTCTAGAGTATTGTGTACTAATATTCTAATTAGAAAATGTTTATTTTCAAGTAATTCAGGGTTTTTTTTTTTTTTTTTTTCCAGATTTTACTTTTGCTTTCTTCGTCTTTTTTGCATTTTTATAAGTAAAATTTCATGTGTAAAGTGTTTGAATAGTAATTAAAAATATTTAATGTTTTATTTATAGATCTATACTGAAATACAAGGTGTAACAGAAAAGGCTATCATTGACAAACTTCAAATACGTGAAATGTTATCAAAAGGCATTGCAAAAAGTAATAAGTCCAAGTTTTCTAGCAAATGCAGTCATATTATCTTGTCTGCGACTGTCATTTTAAGAGATGTAAATAGTGATAGTTTTGAAACCATAAGAAATGGAAATTTTCTTTTGGTAAGTTTCTCTAATTTCTTAAACATAATGGAAGGGAGCATTAAAATTTATATATTATTTGAGTCAGAAGTTAACAAAAGTCAACTTGTTTATGAGATTATCACTGAATAGCATCTGATTAAGGACTTTGCCCTAGAAATTTCTTTCGTGAAAGAATCTTTAAGAATAATTTGCCACGTTAGATGCTTTTTAAGATGATTGGGAACATCACTTGTGAAGAAATTTAGTGATTTATGCACCTAATTTTTTACATACACTACAAAGTCCTTTGTAAAATCTTAAAACGTGAAAACAGAATTGGCTCAAAGTAGAGGAAAAGGAAAAACATAGGTTATAAAAGATAGTCTTCACATAATCAGGGTACAATAAGTCTTTGTAGAAGCCCCATTTTTTTCAGTAAAAGCTAGATTTGCCAATTATTAATATAACAAAATAGCAGAAAGACAGTATAAATAATATCTAAAAGGGAAAGAAACAAGATCTTTATACAGTACAAAGTCCAATATCAGAAACTGTCAGGAATTCGGCTATTCCAGATTTCGAACATTTATGAATTTTAGATCATCAGTTTAAATCAAGTTAGATGAAAAGTAAAAATTATAAAATTTAAAATATTAAATAGTTATCTATGAAATAATGGGCATTTATGATCTTCAAAAAATCAAAATTTACAGAGGAAAAAAAAGCTGTTTGTTTTTGTTTTGAACATTTCTGTCAATGTAAGTTGTTTCATTTTTTGTGCTAATACGTTCTCTTTGATTTTTATAAATATAATTTCTTGTTCAGTTACAAAGCTCAAGTGTTTAAATTCTGCAATTGCTATGTCGAGAAATCCCACTGTATCTCCAGTTAAAAATTAGTTCTCGGAAACCTCTGTCCTTTTCCCCACGACCACTAGTGATGTTTTCTGGATTTAAAAACCATACTACAGATTTTGCTGTCTGTTAGTTGATTGCAGATTTAAGGCATTATCACTGCAATGAAAATCTTCTGTTCTATCATTTTCTTTTATTATCATTTCTTCAGAAATTCCAGCTGTTAATTTTGCCTTCTAGAGAATTCAAAATCTGTGCTAAAAAGGGATGTTATTTTGAACAATTTTCAAATCACATATTCTGCCGTAATATAAGTCCAAACTGCGCCGGTGCCTTTTTTTTCTCCAAGGTCAATAAAAGGCAAGTACCAAATAGGCTTTTTTTTTTTTTTTTTTTTTTTTTTTTTTTTTTTTTTTTTTTTTTTTTTTTTTTTTTTTTTTGCAGATCATGCTGGAGCTCCAGAATTAAAAACTCTTTTTGGTATAATTGAAAATTCCAACTTTAATTTTGATAAGATATTTGTAATAATAACCTGCAAAATATAAACTGGATTGAATTAGAAAGTAAAGGTTTGGTTTATTTGATTATGGCAAAACACTTTAGCGCTATCTGGCTAAGGAGAGTTGTACTTCTGTGGAGGACTCTCTCTTGCATATACGGGGAAACCATGAAAACGCACAAATAGCCAGTCCTTTTTCAGGATTCGAACTACCAGTATTCAATGACTTTACTGCTAAGCTGCTGGTGGACCTTAGAAAGTTAAAAACATCAAAATTTGCTATGTTAACTGAACTTAAATTCTTCAGAATTCTTTCTTGTTCAGAGTTGCCGACATTCCCAATTTAGACGGGAGACTCCCGATTTTAGACCATTCTCCCGCCAACCCGATTTACAATATGTTTCTCCCGACTTTTTCTTATTCTTCAAATTTCTCACAAATTTGACGGAACTTGGCTTAATACTTCGTTATATGAACAAAGAAAAAAAGTGATTTTGGATGTCTGAAAGCAATTCAATTTTCTCTAGATTATATCTAAAATAAAACCTTGCTAATCAGATGAAATTTCTGATTTTCTGATTGAAATCAGGTTTGCTTTGTGAGTGAGAGCATACTTATCCAGAAACTTTCTCCAGTTCTCCAATGGGCATTGAGCTCCACTGCGTGTCATCTGGCATATATTAGCCAACGAGCACAAAGCAAGCTCAAGGCTGTTATTTGGATGTTTTTTGCTCTTTAGTTATTTCGTTTATCTTGTCCTGAGTTGTGTGAGTACACGTGCCTTCGGGAAATAGTTTTAGAAATTATCTTTTGTTATATCTGCGAGAAAGGTCTGAAATTGTTATGTCTGAAATACTCGTGTACGTTTCAGAAATCGTAAGCAGTTGACTTTCCTTCCATTATTTCCTCAAGGAAATGTAATAAATTTGCGATGTGTATCATCTGTCGTTGTGATTTTTCGATTTCACATGGTGGAAGGGCGGATGTTCTCGAACATGTACGTACACAAAAACGCAAGGACAACATGAGTTGTTTTGGAAAAAAAAAAAAAAAAAACGAAAATTAAATTTTTCTTCGGAAACAAAGGACCAAAAAGTTATTAATGCAGAATGTCTGTTTTCTGCTTTTTTTACTGGAGCACAACCTGCCACTGAATGCATCAGATCATGCTACAGCTTAGAAAAATGTTTTCCGATAGTGAAATCGCTAAGAAATACTCAACTGCAAGGACTAAAACAGGTGCAATTGTTAAGAAATGAGTTTGAAAAATAAATTTTCATTTATTTGATTGCATTAAAACAGCTTCGTTCTGCCTCTCTATGGATGGAAGCAATAATACCGATTCAAAACTGTATCCAATTGTTGTTTCTTTTTTTAATCCAGAGTCTTCAGAAATTGAGTGCAGTTTACTTTCTGTCCCCACTTTAGTAATATAAGTCATTACTAAAACATTCTAACATCTAAAACATTCGACAGGCTTTAATATAGCACAGCTAATTATTAAAACTTTAAAAGAAAATGCAGTCCATCTGGATAATTGCTTAGCTGTTTTGGTGCCGATAATGCACCAGTAATGGTAGACTTGAAGACTGATGTTACAGGCATCTTAAGAAATGAAAATTCAGATTTACAGATTATGAGGTGCACCTGTCACCTCTTAAATTTAGGAGCTGAAAAAGGGGCAGCTTCTTTACCAGTAAATGTGGATGAACACATTGTTGATATTTATTATTATCTTGAAAGAAGTTCTAAAAGGAAGGGAAAATTGAAACAGTTCCAACAGCTGCATAATACTGAAATGAGAAAAATTTTGAAACGTGTGTACATGCTGGCTGTCTTTAAAGAAATGCTTATCTAGATTCCATAATCAATGGAACCCACTTCTTACATTTTTTAAAGAAGAAGTAAATGCTTCAAGAGTTAAGATAAAAGGCTCTATTGAAAGTTATAAAATACCTAAAGTAAATAGAGATGTAGTTACTACTTCCATTGTTAAAAATAGGTTTGAGAAAAATAAAGTAATTTCTGCACCATTCAGCAATTCAACTGGCAGTTCTCAAAATAATATTGCAAAATATAAGTGTAAAGCTGATATAAATTTCTCTCAAAATAAAAAAAATTGCTCAACACACGAAACTTTTCCGATTACTGCAAGTTTGTCTTGTGAAGAACGAATATTTACGTTCTTTCTTCGGACCTTAACAAAGCTTTTTGCTTTTTTTTACAATTCATTTTGCCATCATTTGATGTAACACAGTTCTTTCTACAAAGCAGAATTCCGTAAATTCATGTTTTGCAATCAATGATTTACGATCTGTTTAAAGACATTTTATCAAAGTTTGTAAAACCAGTCTGTGTTTTGTCTTGTAATTCTATATATGATGTGATTTATGGTGAAATAGAAAATCAGAAGAAACATGAAGATGTGGTAATAGGAGCTGCAACTATAAAGGTAGTGGAAGAACTTTCAGAAGAAGACAAAAATAAGTTTTATCTTCATGTTAGAAGTTACTTCTGTCGAATATGTGATTACATACTACATAAATTTCCAGACAATGATGAAGTGATTTTGTATGCTAAAGTTGCTGATGTTTCTGCTGTAACGAATGCATCATTTTCTGATATAAGGTACTTTTTGAACAGATTTCCTGTGTTACTTTAGTTAATCATGAAAGTTGATGATATTGATATTGCCACTGATAATATTGCAGTCACAGTTTTGCAGTTTACAATTAGAAAACTTGAAGGAAGTTATAAAATCATCAAGGATTGACATCCAGTGGGGTTTAATTGGAAAACTGAAAGGTGATGATGGAATTTTAAAAAATATAGTGAACTGTCTAGAATTATGTTGGCCATCTTGACAGTCCCCATAGTAATGCAGAGTGTGAGAGATTTTCAGTGTTGTTGCGAAAACAAGGACTAAATTTAGATCTAATATTAGTGATGACACATTAGAAAAACTTTTATTAACGAAATCAGGCCTACGTGGCAATTGCTATGAACAAAATTATGAAGTTTCTTTCTTAACGAAAGCAAAATCTGCCACTGTTCATAAAATTTGTACGAAAACTGATTAAAGTTTTTTTCTTTTCTTGTTTTTTTATGTGTAAGGTATTTTTGTGTTGCTTGCATTTAAGAATTAGTAACTATTTAGAGTTAATTCATTATTAAAAACTATTTTTATCCATTTAAAAAGCTTTTTAACATTGTGAAAATCTTCTGATTTCTTAAAAAAAAACTCCTGATTTTTGAGTGTCATAGGTAGACAAGTATGCTTGTTGCTATGCCATCAAAAAAAATTTGTGTGTCCAACATCCCATATCATACAAATGTTTTGGGGCTTCACTTATTACCTAAATGAGATTTAAAAATGTCTAACAACTCGAGTAAAAAATGTGGTCATGCCAAGTATATCAATCATTGTACTGTCAGTGGCCAAGCTGTCATTTCCTAACCAGCAGGTATGAGAAGGCAACATCCAGTCTCAGAGAAAATCGCTATTGTGGCACCACTCTTTTATTTTAGTACTATATTTTCCATTCATAGACTTTGCAAAAATTTTTTTATGGTTTATATATTAGATGTCCGGACTTTGTATTGTATGAAGCATGAATAATTATATATTCACAAGAAAAAGAATTTTTTTCTTGAAAACATACCAAACGTTGATACATAAAAAGTTATACATTGAATTGCTTTCAGATTAAGGAAAAAATATTTATATAGTTTTCACTTAGGAAAGCTTTACCAACTAGTTTTGCATCATTTTCATTTGCAAATATTCTGGAAACCATTTCCAATTTATTTGTATTGTAATTGAATAAATTAAAATAATTTTAAATATACATTATATGTTTTTATGTGGTTGTAACTTAATGTTTTAATGAGTATTTAAACTTATTAATTATATCTGATATAATACAAAACTTATTTTGCTAATTATGTATTAGATGCTGATTTTCAGTTTTTAAGTCGACTGATAGCAAGAATTGTTTTATTATTGCATTATTTTTTCCCCACCTTATTAGGTATTTTTGTGTAATTTTATGTATATCAAAATTGTTTTGCAGAATTTTTTTCATCTTTTTTTATTCATTCTTAATTTTAAAAAGTCTTATTTATTTCATCTACTGTTCACATGTTACACAATTAGTACTTTAGAATTCATATTTTCTGTTACCAACTTAATTGTTTTTAAACTACTTCTCAGTTCTAGTTTTTTTACTACACAAATAATTCTATAAAATGCTGGAAAAATTTTACTTTATACTCTTTGGAAGACTTTCTACTGAAAATTGATGGATAGGAAATTAAATATTATTTTTTGCCTATACTTTTTTGTAGGTTGACTTAGGAAGCTGTGTGAATGTGCTGAAAGCAAGAAGTGTACCAATTCATAATGGTGAGATTGTTTTTTTGAACTGTTTTACCTGCAGTATTTGTTTTAATATGAAACATCTTATTTGCTTTTTGAAATGCAACAGCTTGTAAGAACTCAAGAATTTGACGGCTTTCAAGAACTAATGTTATATTTTATCTGAATATGATGTATTCAATATTATCAATGAGTTACTTGGTTTTTGTGAATTTTCTTGGAAATGAAAGCATTGCTGTCAAGAGGTAAAAATTCTTATAATGACAAAAGGAATGGTAAAAATGACAAAAGCAATATAAGCTGTTTTGAAGAATGAAGTATTGCAGAATGATTTGATATTGCATTATGGCAAAACATTTTAGGAATTCTGTCATAAATTATCCATCCTCTGCTTATTATAAGAGATCATTTTAAAGAGAGATGTCTTCATGGAGATTTTAAAATGGATGCTAGCCCATTGAATTTAATTATTCTATTTCTCGTTGATAGCCATATATCACGATAAAATAACACCAAACACGTTACAGAAATAACACAATCTAACTTTCAATATATTTATTTTCCATAGCGACACTCTGGTGTTAGGTTTCTTTCTTACAACGTAACATATGAATCGCAACTTAATGTACAACAAGAATCAAGTTTCTCGCAGACTATATTTCAGCACCGATTCTAGTGGCGCATGCGCTATTAGACAAGATTCTCCTCTGTTGCCAAGTATTTCTGAGCTAATACAAAACACTCCCAGCATTAAAATTAACAATTTCAAAACTGTTATTACAATAAATGTAAATATAAAGGTACTACAATAAAATGCTTTACAATAACAAATCACAATATTGAAGAATATACATTCAAATCATTACAACAAATACTTGTTTGTAATAGTGATAAACAATCATTCTACAGGAAGTATACATATATCTTGAGCATTTCGTTTTAACAAATGTTGATTAGGCAATCTTACAATTACTACTCTTACTTTGTTATCATTACCGTGAAAACCCTCAGCTGTTCTCCCCACTAACCATTTGGTTGAAGGCAAATTTTCATCTTTTATTAATACAAGAGTTCCCAACTGAACGTCATCCTTTAAATATTTCCATTTGTGACGTTTTGTAAATTATTAAGTTAATCATGTTTCCATAATTTCCAAATTTTTTGTGTATACTTAGTAATTATTTGCCATTTAGAAAGTCTGTTTTTGCCCTAAAATGTATGCAAATATATTGTAAGAAAACCCTTTAACACTCTGATTTAAAACTTCTAATGATCTCGCGCGTTCGTTTGTAATGTCAATTAAGTTTAATATTGCTGACGCAGACTCGTTTTGTATAGGATGCATATTCATAAATCATTTCAGATGAACATACACTTGTTCGCGGTGATTAGAGAACCTTTCTTCTAGTAACGAAAAGGCTAATTTATAATTAGAGTCAACTATGGATATTGACTGCACAATACGATAAGCATCTCCTCTCAGCGCAGATGTTAAGTACTGTAATTTGACCACATCTGTTAAATTACGATTTGAATCAACACTGGCTAAAAAGATATCTTTAAATGAAAGCCACTCATGCAAGTTACCCGAAAACGTTGGCAAAGTAATTTTGGGTAATTTAACATTGTTCTCAGTATTCATACAAACCGAAGGCTCTGTTTTATTTTCTTTAGAAAGTTTAGCTAATTTATGATTTAATTAGACTTCTACATCTATGAGAATATCGTCAATCTCTTCTTTCTCTTTTACATAAGCATCAATACTTCAGTACATAACCTGAACAAAGAATCGAAATTGGAATTTATCTCTGTCTTAAGCACTTTAAACTTATTCCTCAGTACTTCCAAATCACTTCTTTGAACATTTTCGCCCGCAACTTTTTGTTTTAACTTTGTTAACTGTGTTTTCAATGTAAGTTTTTTTTTTTTTTTTTTTTTTTTTTTTGCTAATATCTCCTTTAGTGGCATTTTAATTAGCAAAAGTCAATACACAAATAAAGAGCTTCAAAAAGGTACAATGAGCTTCAAAAAAGGGGGAGGGTACTTATCCTTTTGTTTCTACAGAACTTCAATCTGGAAGTATCCTATGTAATCCTTCGTTTCACAAAACCGAAAGTAATATCACAGTCTCTAAAACTTTATTAGCTGCTTCGACCCTAACCGGGGGGGGGAATTGAATTATTCTATTTCTTGTCTATAGCTATGTATTACAATAAAATAACACCACACACATTACAGAAATAACACACTCTAACTTTCAATACATTTATTTTCCAGAGCGACACTCTGGCGCTAGGTTTCTTTCTTACATCGTAACATATGAATTGTAACTCCGAATCTACAACAAAAATCAAGTTTCTCACAGACTATATTTCAGCACTGATTCTGGTGGTGCATGCGCTATTAGACAAGATTCTCCTCTGTCACCAAATATTTCTCAGCTAATATAAAACAACCATATTTTTCACCTTTGAGGAAATCCATGCAAAGTTCGTGCAGGTATTTTGCTTGTTTGTGTACTTTAATAGCATTTTTCAATGGAGAAATCACACATATTTTTTGTACATGGTGTGTCTTCAAAAGTACTTCCAGAGCCTTCATTTTGCAATTTTTGGTTGTAGACACATATTTCCAACTATAAAGATTTTTTAAATAAGGCAAATACCCTTGTTTTTGCATTAAAAGATAAGTTTTGTAAATTTAAAAAATATCGAGTTGTTTATATTGTGTGTTTGGTCTTACACTTATGTTTAGTAAAAGTTTATTCTTTTTTTTTTTAATAAAGCACAAAAAGTTTGACGTTTTGCATATATTGACAGATATTTAATTTTAAAATTTGGTGCCATATTTTCTGAAAATTCAGGGTGTTGTACACAAATTGACAAGCAAAATACTGAAATTCGTATGTAATTAAAATATCAGTTTGAATAAAGGTTCCTGTTCTTAATAAATTAGTGGTAGTCATAGTGATATGATATGCAGGTTGTTGTGAAAAGGTTTTATCAATGCAATTTTTTTTTCAAAATGGATATCTAATTCAAAGTTATTTACAGAATTAATATAATGGTAGGCATTCAAGTATTGGAACACAGTGAACTTGCTCCATTATTTGCATAAATTAAATAAATTGTATTTCAAGTGAATATTCTAATGAATTGTTTTGCATGACTGTTAGACTATGATCCTGAAATGGTAAAACTTCTTAGGTATCTTATTAATGTATTTTTAGCATTTGAAATCTTACAAATTACATGTGTTGAAATGTTTTTGGCATACCACGTGGAACAAGAGACTAAATTAAAGAACGTTAAGCACTAGTAATTACAAAGGAATGTCATTGAATGACATTAGCTGGGGTAAGGGGGTGGGGGTGGAATCAGCCTCTGATTATTATTTTTTAGCCATTTAACTATTTGGTTAATGTTAGAAATATTATGTACCAACATATATTGTTATATCAATCATTGCTATATACAGTCAAACGTCGTTAATCCGGACCTCAAAACTACAAACTTTCTGCGCATACGTCAACACAAAATGCATTCACGCATGCGCATAGGCGTTTACGTATGCACATGCGCATAATACATTTAAGATTGGCGGGTTGGCCGAGTATTATATATATGTACGCTGGTATCGGCGAATGTCTTGTCTCTCTTGTGATTATCAGTTAGCATTATGCTAGTTTTTCTTTCACTTAATGATTTTAAATGTAAAGGCTACAGTGTTAGCTTATTTTATTTACGAAATACAGCATGAATTTTATTTAGATTAGTCTTAGCTTTATTTAAGGAAAGCAAAATATGGTTTGCCTTTATCACCACTGCCAACAGGGTTATGGGCCCAGCGCCAACAGCTAATCGGTGATCCAGTTCAACTCAGCATTGAAGGAATGTAGGTGAAGAGGGCCGTTATCCACGAAAAGAAGCTGACCTGTCTTAGAAGTTTGTTCAAGTCGTCGTGCTCACACTGAATTGAAGATGTGATTACTACATGAAGGTTTTGAGCTGTTAAACCATGACAACTGGGATCGATGGAAAGTCGATATGAAAATGCTGTTACTGGATAGAAATTGTTGGAGCTTCATAGAAAACAAAGAAGAAGAATTAGATAAAAGTGCAACAAGGCGTGAAAACCAGGAGTTCACACTGAGAGAGAACAGAGCCTTCACTACATTATATTATGGAATTAAAGCTGAATTCAGCCCGCTGATACAAGAATGTTCAAGTGGTAAAGAAGCATGGGAAGTTCTACAGAAGCAATTCGAACTCGAAACAAGAGCAAGGATAATTCAGTTACTGGATGAATTTTTTAGTATTAGATATACACCAAATAAAGAAATAGGATTATTCATCTTGAGGATAAGAATGACTGTGAAGAAGTTGGCTGAAGCTGGTCACAACTTGGCAGATCTTTTTAAAGGATTCCAGGCAATAAGGAGATTACCCCAGAAATACTCCGGCATTGTAAGTTGATCCATAGGTGGAAGGACGAAGATTTTATGCTGGAAAGAATTGCTGAAGAGCTGGTAAGGGAAGAAAGCTGACTTCGCCAGGTAAATGCCGATTTAGAACACAGCAAGGTAAGCGTGTTTAATACTATTAGTTTAAACGTGGGGAAAGATAGAGTTGAAAATAAGACTAAATCTCAGAAAAAGATGGGGAATATGAGAATAGGACCTTGTTTCAGATGTCATAAATTTGGGCACTTAATCACTCAATGTAAAGAAAATGTAAGTAAAAATCAGAAGTTTAAAATAGACGATAAAATTGGACAGTTTAAAGATAAAGAATTAATGTTAGTAAAAAAAGTATGTAACAACTACAGATAAAGGAGGTAACGCAGATAAATTTAATTGGGTCGTAGATACTGCAGCTACAACTCATTTCTGTAATAATAGTAATTTAATGACAAATTTTGAAGAAATAAACAATATACTTATGTCTTTAGCTGTAGAGAATTGTGAAAGTAAAGAATTAGGAAATGGTACCGTCAAATTTGCAGTAAAACTAAGCAATTGAATAAAT